AAAAAAAAAAAAAAAAAGTGTGAGACCTGTCTCCAAATGAAGGGTAGAGCCCTTGCCTGCTGTCAATAGTGTCCTGGGTGCAAGTCCCAGTAACTAAAAGGCACACACACACACACACACACACACACACTCACACACACACACGGGGGTGGGGGGAGAGAGGGAGGAGGGGAGAGAAAGAAGGAATTCTGAACTTTTTCATTTTGGAATAAAATCTGTTTTAGTACCATTATTCCATTGTTAACCTTTTCTAGAGTCTCTGTTGACAAAATCTTACTAAAAGGTTATCAATAATTTAAATGTAAAATTCTACTTTTTTGTTTTGACACAAGTTCTCACTATGTAGTCCAGGTTGACCTTTAATTCATTATATAGGCTAAATAGGTCTCAAATTCAATCCTCTTGCCTCAGTTTTCCAAGTGGTAGGATTATAGGTATAGGACACCATGCTCCACTGAAATTGTGCTTCTGTATAATTTACTGATATTTTTCAGGCTTATTCTCTGTGTACATGAAACCCACCTCTGTTGGAAGATAGGTTTGCTGGAATAAATCAAGCAAACAACTTGGCCTCAGAAAATTCAAGTCTTAGGAATGAATTTTAAAATATAGGCAAGACAGACATTGAAGTTCATGAAATTCATTGAAACATTACTGAGAGGATTAAAAGAAGAGAAGATTAATTGAGAGATTCAGATGCCATGAGTATTGATAGGAAACAATATTGTTAATGTATCAGTTGCTCCTAAATTGTTCTATGGATTCAACATAATTCCAAAAAAAATTCTAAAAGGCTTTTTCTTTGTTTTTTTTTATATAAACTTACAATTTGTTCTAAAATTTATAAGTAAATAAATGTGAAATATACAGAGCAGTGATGACAAATGCTTTATAGCTTTCAGTGATACAAACAGACCACTGTGGCATATATACCAAAGGTTTACCACCACTGATACAAAATAATCAAAAGTATTGAAATAGAAGAACAATGTTACAGGCTTTTATTTTCTACCTTATTTTTTAAGAGTTACTATAGAACAGGTCAAAAGAAAATAGTATTGATGTTCAGATAGACAGATAGATCAGTGGGACAGATCAGAGTCCAGAAATAGATTTACACATAGAAGGTCAGGTAGGTTTTGGCTATAATGCCAATGTTATGAAACATGGAAAGGAAATTTTTTGACAGGTGCTGAATAATCATTGGAAATAAAATGAACTTTGATCTACCTCATACCTGTCACACAAATTAATTGAGGTACATCATAGATTTAAATATAAAGTAAAAACTATAAAATGTCTAAAAGCAAATATAAGAGAATATCTTCAAAACCTTGGAATAGCCAGTTTTTAAAGATTTCAGAACACTGTAACAAATAATAAATTAGACCTCATCAAAATCAACAACTTCTGGGGCTGGGGATTTGGTTCAGTGGTTCTGCCGCCTGCCTCGCAAGTGCAAGGACCCGAGTTTGATCCCCAGTACCAAAAATCAAAAACAAAACAAAACAAAAAATTTCAACAACTTCTGCTTATTGAAAGATAGAATTAAGAAAATGAAAAGGCAATCATAAAGGGTGGGAGTTATATATAAAACCTTGGTTCAGGAATTCTTCTGTTTGCAAAATAGTTTGATTCACAAACAGAAGCATTCAACAAAATTTTGCTTCCCTTTACAAACTCTGCATCAGATGAAGAACACAACCATGGTCATCTTACTTAGAATAGTGGACAAATTAAGTTCATGAACCAAGACAGGCAAATATATCACTAATGAGCACATGAGATGATGTGCAACATCATTAGTCATCAGAGAAATGTAAGTTAAAGCCTTAATGTTATTCCATTTGACCTTCAATTCAATAAGTAAAATTAAAAACTCATACAATATCAGGTGTTGATGAAAATGTCAAGAGGCCTGGACCTCTCATTTATTGCTGATTGGAATATAAGATTGTATAGCCACTTTGGAAAATGGCAGTTTCTTACCCTATGACCTACTAATTTCACACTTAGGTGTGTATCTGAAAATAACAAAAGGAAAATCTAAAATATCTGTGTATAATAAGAATGTTACAGAATCCTTATTTGTAATAGTCCCAAACTGGAACAACAAAAAGTATTAGTAAGAGATTTTGGATGAATTCTGTTGTATTCATACAATGAAATATTACTTAATAATAAAAGGCAGCAAACTACTTATACTAACCACAGCATTGATGAATCTCAAAATCCTTATGTTAATTTAACTACATGGACAAAGACACAAAATCATACTACCTTTGTGAAGTTCAGCAACAGGAAAAACCACTGATAGAAATCAGAACAGTTATTTCTTCAAGATGAGAAAAGATTGACTAAAGGGGGCACAAGTGAATTTTCTTGAGTGATTGAAATGTTCTTGATTGTTGTGATTACAAGTGTGTGTACATTTGCCAGAACTCATTGAACTTATCTAGGCATTTCACAGCATGTAAATTGAATGTTAAAAATGTTTTTTCTAATGATTCTTTTTTTCCCATTCAGAAGTTTGACCATCTCCAAGAATCCATGTGTTCTTATTGTTTAATTTTTATTTTACTTATTGTATCTCTATTACATAGTTTAGTAGTTGAACCTTTTTTGGTTCCAATACCTGCTCTTTCTTGGTATGGATATTTTTGCCCTAATCTAGATTTCAATTTATCCTTTTATTTTCAACCAGTCTTTGTGCTTAAGGTGAGTCACTTGTAATCACTGTGTAGTTGGTTTTGGTTTCTTAAATCCAGTCCAGCAATCTTTGTTCTTTAAGTGGATTTTTTAGTCCTTTCATATTTAACATGATTACTGAAATTGGATTCAAATTTACCACCTGTTTGTTTCTTCTTTGCCCCATCTGTTTTTTTAAGAAATTGTTATTAATTGAATATTTTTTACTATTTTATTTTCTCCTGGAGTAATTTGTTAATTATATATTTATTCAATATATTATCATTATTATAAAGATAACTATTTTAAATACTTCTGTTTCTTTTCTTTTTCCCAAGGGCCCAAGAATTTAGGGAATCTAATATATATTTTCAATAAATTCTTTTAGATTTTCTGTATTGCCTTAATATTTTTGAAAAACTTTAAATGTTTTTATAAGCTTTTAATGTTTTTTTGCCTATTGCTTTTAGAATCACACCCAGAAAATTTGATACTGTTGAAACATCTGAGCATTACAAAAGTGGGATTATCACCAGTGACATTGGAGGCTTAACTTTAAGGAAGAGGGGAATACGAACATCATTTACATTTAGGAAAGTAAAGCACATGCCTTGTACCTGTAGTAAGTATATAATTTCATTTCTACTATAAAATAGAGTAAACTTAGTATAAAAAAGATCTCATCAGTATCTAGGAGAGCTTTAACTTTTTTACTGGCATTTCCTGTATTTTGTCTTCATTCTACTTTAATGTACTTTTCTGAACCATCTCCTCTTAGAGTTATATTATTTGAAGGCATTATATTCTTTGAAGACATTTGTTTCACCTTGTTTTCTCCAAACTTCATTCTTTAGCATAGTTGGGTGCCAAGAAAACATTCACTGAAGCAATAGTTAAGAGTGTTAGAATTGTAGGACAATAACATATCACTTGTACCAAAATAGGTTTTGTTGGAAACTGGTTGCTACATTTCAGAATTACTTTTTATTAATCCCACAGGGAAGTTGGAGATGAAAAATTGACATTATAGTAGATGACTCTAGGGCAATAAACGTTGTTTATTGTTTAGTCTGTTTGAAAACCTAGAAGGGACTAAAAGGAACTGCTGAAAAACTTGTCAAGAGGATGGTGTTTTAAATTATGTGTATATAGGAACTAGCCTACAAGCTCAAACTTGACCAATGTGTGATGAGTATGAAAAATAAAGAAACATAGAATCAGGTTAAAATGCAGAGGGCCTGGGGCCTCTTTTCTCCCTTTGACAGAGAGCCCCGAATGACTGATGAACCTAGGCTTTATTCACTGGTACAAGCAGTTAGAGTTACACAGGATTTGTCTGTCTTCCACCCTCCATGGTACTTGGTACATGGTACTTGTCTGAGTAAACAATAGGATCTCAGCTGTTTTTACTTTTTGCTGCAAGCTTGCAACATGCTTGCATGCTGCCTTTCTTCTTAGTGTTCAGCAAAGTCCTTTGACCAATATCTGCCCAGAACTCTTCCACCTTCATCCGCAGCCCCTGGTAACCACTTCTATTTTGTTTCTCTGAGTGCAGTTTTTTATAGTATACTTGTAAATGAGATCATGTGGTACTTGTCTTTCTATGCCTGACATATGTCCCTTAGCATGTGTCCTCCAGGTTCATTCATGTTGCAAATGACAAGGTTTTTCTTCTTTTTAAAGAATGAATAGCATTAGGATGTGTCACATTTTAAAAATCCATTTACTTTTTTTTTTATTTACTTGTTGATGGGCAATCAGAGTAATTATTCATCTTGGCTATTGTGATCAGCACTACAATGAACATGGGATTGGAGACATTTCTTTGCTATATTTATTTCATTTCCTTTAGGTTTCTGCTACCCACCAAAGAGATTGCCGGGTCATATGGTTGTTCTGTTTTCAATTTTTTGAGGAACCTTTATGCCATTTTCTATAGTGACTGTCTAATTTCACTCCTGCCAGCATAAATGCAAGGTTCTCTTTTCTCCACCTCCACGTCCTTGCTAACTAACTCTTGTTATTTTTGTCTTTCTGATAATAGCTATCCTAACAGCTGTGATGTGATGTAATATCTTACAGGTTTAATTTACATTTCTTTAATGATTAGTAAGTTTTCCTTTTTATGCTTAAGGTCATCTTTTATATACTTTTGGTCAGAATTTTTTTTTTTTTTTTTTTTTTTTTTTTTTTGTACCGGGCCCTTGCACTTGTGAGGCAGGCGGTGGAACCACTGAGCCAAATGCCCGGCTGCCAATTTTTTTTCTTTTAAGTGAAAAGAGTTGCTCCTCCCTTTAGACACTTTTGATTTTTTTTTTTAAATTTTCAAGATTAAAATTTTA